AGCATATGCATATGTATATGCATGTGCGTATGTATACCTCTCAGAGTTGGTTTGGCTCCGTTTCAAGAGTTGGCGAAGGCGTACTTTGTGCACTCGACTGCCCCGGAGGAAGTGCAGCAGCAGCAGAAGCAGCGGGAGCAGCCGCAAGAGCCGGGGCAGCAGCAGCAACAGCAGCAACNGAAGTGCAGCAGCAGCAGAAGCAGCGGGAGCAGCCGCAAGAGCCGGGGCAGCAGCAGCAACAGCAGCAACAACAGGAAGAGGAGCAAGAGCAGCAGAGAGGGCCTGTGGTGCTGAAGACCTGTCTCTTCACTGCGTCTCTTTTCGAGCAGCAGAGGCGCATAGCCCAGTACAAGTCTCCGAAAGAGCAGCAGCAGCTGCTGCTGCAGCAGAAGCAGCAGCAACAGGAGCAGCAAGATCCCTCTTGCTTCCTTATGGACATGCAGACATGGCGGAGGGACATCTCCTTGCTAGACCTCCTCTCCGAGTGCTTTACCTCTCTCGACGTCAGGGCGTTGCTGCTGCCCGTTGATGTTCTTGCTGCTACTGCTGCTGCTGGCCCTGCCGCTGCTGATGCTGAAACGCAAGGAGTCACACTAACAAAAGCTGGGGCAGTAGCAACAACAGCAGCAACAGCAACGACAAGGAAAGCAATAGAAGAGCTGCCGCCGGCAGTTAAGAAGGCCTTCATAAGCGGAGAGGCATTCACTTCTCTGCTGCAGCGGCTGCATGCACCAGCAGGACCTCGAACTCGTGGCTTCAGCAGCAGCAGCAGCAGNCAGCAGCAGCAGCAGCAGTGAAGGTCTGAGTGTTGCTTACTTCCTTTCTCAAGGCCGCCCCTCTGCTGCATTCCATCTGCTTCTGGCTAGCCGCAGCAGCTGCCGTTTCGGCCGCGCTGGGGTAAGCAACGCATGCAGCAGCAGCAACAGCACTGACGGCGTGTGTGCGTGTGCTGCTGCTGCTGCTGGAGCAGCAGAAGGGCAACTGCTGCAGCTGAGCCCGGAAGAAGAAGAGCTGCTGCAGGATACAGCAATGGAAGTTGCCTTTTACAATCTGCTGGACGAGGGGACTGTCTCCTCTTGTCTCCTTTTCCTTGAGCTCTGCAACCTAGACGCCACGATGCTGCGTGTAGACGCCCAGTCAGCTCGGAGGATCTACGAACACCAGCAGCAGCAGCAGCAGCAAGGTTTCGCTGCGGAAGGGACAAGCAACAAAGCAACAGAAGGACCCATCGACGACGCTGCTGCTGCTTCAGTGATAAAACTGTTCCGCTCCTTCCCCCGTTCCTCGCCCGCCAAGCCCACGAGTAGCAGCAGCAACAGCAGCAGCAGCAGCAGCAGCAACAACAAGAGTAGCCGGGGCATATCTTCCCCACACCTGCTGTCAGCACTTCGTCTGCTAGAAGAGGCGACTTGGGCCTTAAGCGCTCCGCCGCAAGCAGCAGCAGAGGGAAATGCAGCTGCTGCTCCTGCTGCTGCTGCTGCAGTAAAGAGACAGGCCACGAACCCATGGCACTTGGTTGCTCACTTCTGCAGGTATGCTGCCTCCAGCGGTGTAGCAGTTCGTCTCCTTTCTCCGCTAGTGCTGCTGCTGTTGTCTGCCCCTCTGAGTTGCTGCTGCTGCTGGGTGCTGGTAAGGCAGCTGCATTGTTGTGCACTGTTGTTGTTGCTGCTGTTGCTGCTGCTGTTGTTGCTGCTGCTGCAGGGTCCACGAACTTCCTCATTCGTTGACGCTACTGCACGAGCTGGCGCGGAAAGGAGACTGGCTGTCTGTCATGCATGAGGCTGAGCTCCAGCGCTGCCCCAAAGACACCCTCAAGGGGGTTATTGACGGGTAAGGTGCTTCCTGCTGCTCCTGCTCCTCATCCTGCTGCTGCTGTTGCTGCTGCTGCTGCTCTCGTTGCTTCTGCTGCTATCGCTTGCTGCGGTTGTTTCGGAAGCTGCCGTTGCTGCTGTTGTTGCTGCTGCTCTTGCTGCTTCTGCTGCGGCTGCACGCACGGTCCGGTTGGGGGTTGTGTTGGTGCAGCTACTTCACAAACCCTTGTCTACGGGGCCACTTAAAGCGAGCAATTGGCTGCAGCAGCAGTTCAGGTGTATCTGCAACAGGAGGGGACTCAACCTGGCGCGACTCAGATGATCCCCTTTGTCTCCTCATAGCTGTGAGCGCTGCTCTTTGCTGCTGCTGCCACTGCTGCTGCTGATACCTCCAGAGTTT